CATTTTTTTATATTCTAAGGATGTCTTTATCCCAAAAACCAAATAGGTGAGCATAATAGGTTGTCCCTTAGTAGGTGTGATTTGAAGAGAAGGCTATTCTGCTCTGAGCTATCTTCATAGCTCCCAAGAGTGTCAAAAATTTCACCATTAAAGGTTCACAATTTTGCCTGAAGATATTGAATATGTAAAAATGCCTTCTTCATGAGAGGATGTCTAATGTCAATCCCTGAAATCAGAGTAAAGCTGTCGGGACGAGTGGAGGACATTCACCAATATAGACACGGCTGTAGCCCTTCAAAAAGAGGTCCCACTACTACCTGCCTGGAGGACTTTCTATAGACCTTAAGCATCAACTTTTCCTGTGTACCCTCACTCTACAAATCTCAGAGTCCCGGATACCTCAAACCCGGCACCTCCTGGTGGCAGTGCCATTCACAGCTTTGGATCACTCTGGAGTCAATTTTCACCTTTTATGCCAGGTTTGGGGTTCCACTACAAGTTCAGTCTGGATCTTCTCGTTCGTGTAATGACTTTGCCAACTGGCCTGAAGTACGTGTCTTATGAAGAAGATCGACACATGAACAAATAATGGCCAGGCAGCGCTGGAAGGGCTAAAGTAGAAGTAAGGCAAAGTGCTACAGGAACATTTAACTCTGCCTGGAAAAGTCTTCACTGAGAAGGTTGCAACTGAGCTTAATCCTAAAGAATTAAAATGATTTCACCAGAGTCATTCCAGGCAGAATGAGCCACCCATGCAGAGGGATGGAGGCATGAACCTGCAGGCTCTTGGGGACGGTGAAAAGTCCAGCGTAGCTGGAGCAGAGGATTTTGGAGAAGGCAGAAAAAGAGGCAGAAGATGTGGTTTGATGAAATGAGACTATTTTTTTCTATACGTAACAGGAAACCAACAAAAGTTAAACAGGAAATGCTATTTTCAGATTTGTGTTTTAGAAAAGAACAAGGTCTAGAGATTGCTTCCAAGTGGAAGGAGCACAATAATTGGCAGACACGGCAGCAGTGCTAACATGACCTGTCAGATTTCTTATTCTGAACAGTGATTCTCAACCAGAGGAGATGCTGTCTGCCTCAGCACATCTTTGGTTGTCACAACTGGTGAGGGTAAAGGTGTGCTCTTGACATCTAGTGGGTGGAGGTCAGGGGTGCTGCTAAACACCCTACAATGGACAGGACATCCTGCCACAACAAAGAATTATCTGGCCCAAAATGTCAGTCATGCCAAGGTTAAGCAATCCTGTTCTAAAAGAAGATGAGGTATTCACAGGTCATAGCATGACACGGACTTCCCAGAGAGACAAAAAGGAGATCAAAGAGATTGTAGGACTTCTCGAATTTTAGTTCCGCCACTGTACCTGTGCCAGGTGATGTTCACATGCCTGTCTAACTTGGAACTCTGTGTATTTCCCTCAAATTCCAGTTAGTGAAAGGAATGGTACCATTGAAATAACCTTGAACTGACTGACCCAATTGATGTTTTTAAAGGAAATCATTCGCAGACTTCAATACCTGATTAGTGATAACCTTTTGATCACAGCTGACCAAAGCGCACAGCCAGGTAACACTAAAGTGCAGAATCACTGCTTCAGGCACTGCTCAAAGGGAGACAGAGCATAAACACATGGAAACACATAAACACATGGAAAAGCAACTCCTCCCACCAGGAAAACCAGGCGTCACTGATTGCCAGGACTTTCTCTACTGTCCTCCAGGCCAGAAAACTTTGCCCAGGGAACCAATCAAATCTGCCACCACTTTTTAAATTCAAGTCCCATTCCCTGGCCAAGTTTGGAGAACCCAGAGTCTTTAAAATTGTAAAATGTAAAAACAAGCCGAAGACATGTTTAAATGTGTGCTGAAAGCTGTGATGGCAAAATATATTCTACCCAGAACGAAAAGGAAAGTAAAAGTCTTTTTTCAGATAATGTCTTTTTTGTTGCTTTCACTCTCATTTCTACCTGGGTCTTCAGGGCTCACCTTTGTCTCATTAGTGCCGCCTCCACTACAACAGTTCAGCAATCAAAGGCAGTCATTTGGAAGCAGAGTACAAGCACCAACCACAGTAGCCAAGTTCAACTTCACAAATTGGAGAATCTGCCCTCTTGCTGCTCTTCAATTGAGGAAATGGGATTTCCTTACAAAGACAATGCCTGTGAAAGCGCCTGGGCAGGAAACAGCCCTCCCGGTAAAGTGCCCCATAGATTCGAGCTATGCAGCTGAGAAGGGACTTAGGACTTTGCAATACACAGGATTAAAGGAATCTTTACAGAGAATTTTGTCTGCATAGCATATTTCTGGGAGGATGCAATGGAAATAGTAGCAGTGGTGACCTCTGAAAAGAACGAACCATGTGTCAAGAGGACAGAGATGGAAAGGAACTCATTGTTCACAGTACACCCTGCAGTACTCTTTGAATTCTGAACTGCTAAATTAAGTGCAGCCTAAAGCTGCCTTTTTATATATTTTAAGTTCAGCCTAAAGGTTTCTCTGTACACAGTGAACTATACCCTAACTGGGTGTGTAAACAGACTGTAACCTACTCTTGTACCAATCACCAAGTTTCAGCCAAAGGCAGCCAACTGTTCAAACTGTGTTCAAATAAAACCAAGGCCAAGCTGTAACCAATTCAGCTGTTTCTGTACCTTATTTCACTTCCATTTTCTGTACATCACTTTCCTTTTTCTACCCATAAATCCTCTCTGACCACACAGCAGTGCCAGAGTCTCTCTGAATCTATTCTGGTTGGGAGGGGTGGGGGAAGCTGCCTGATTTGGGAATTGTTCTTTGCTCAATTAAATGCTGTTTAATTGGTCTAAAGTTTCTCTTTTTTTTTTCTTTTTTTATATCTACATAAACAAATGTTTATGTTTTTATACCTACATGTGAACAAATAAAGTTTTTCTTTTAACAGAACCATGTGTATGTAGTACCTATTTATAAAATAATAATTTTTAAAACAAATTAATGACATGAAACGAAAAATAAAAAGGGATTATAAAAACAACTGTAAGTTAGTGAATCCCAAGTTTCCATCCTCTGACTTTGTTCTTGTCTGTGTAGTCATAGGAGTCCTGGAAGAGAGATAACCACTCAAATCTACTGTGAGAGCTTTAAATTCACTTCTGAACTCCCAATCCTTATTTGCAGCTACCAGGGGCTTCTCTCTCTGGAAGTCCCACCCATGGGCACCTCAATGACGGCATACCCCAAACCCAAATCCTTCTCTTCCCTCCTTTCTTTCCCTCGTCCCTTCCCTCCTCCCTCTAAGCCTGATCCTCCTCCAACATTCTCAATCATTATTGAAAATGATTTTCCATTCAGTTTCCCAATATAAAAACTTTAGCATTACCCTAGGGGCCCTCCCCTCTTCTCACCCCTGTTGTAGTGACCAAATGTTAATTCCATTTCCATGCTGTTAAGAGAGCATCGAATAGGTGCGCTTGTACTATTCCACTGACCTTTCCTGGCTCCACACTTTATAAATGATATTGCTTCACTGAGATGTGAGCTCCCCAGCTGGTTTCCATCTTGTTCCTTCTTCACACTTCCCCAGCCCATACCCCAGTCATCTTTCTCAAATACGACTAAACATACTCGATTACAATTAAGAACCTTGGATAGCTCCCTGTTACCTACAAAATTAAGCCCTAATGTGCTAGTTTGACAAGTGTCCATTTATAATGTGGTCTTGAAGATACACTCATCCTTAATATATAAACTGTGCCTTGGCCTCTCTGGTCTAACAAGCCTTGCTCGTTTATGCCTCTTGCATGCCTCCACAACTTTGCACTTGCTGTTTCCTTGATTTGGAAAGACTTCCCTCTCTCCCCACCTGGTCTTGTTCAAAAATGAAATTTCTATTCACCCTTCTAGACCCTGCTCAGTTTGTACCTCTTCTGAAAAGCCCTTCAGGACTTCTCCCTCCGCTGTGCTCCTCCAACACTTTGTACACATCCCAGTTATAACCATAACTATACTCTTTTCTAATTATTTTTGTTTCCATCTCCCCTGCCAAAATGTGAGCTGCTTTTTAAAAAAAAAACAGCTACTATATTTTATTCATCTTTGAATCTGCTGCGCCTCCCTGCTAGCATTACACATAAATGTTTGCTGAATGAATTGGCTGAAAGTACTTTGGTAAAAATGTAACACATTATCCCAAAATTTTATTGACCTCTGTAGCTAAAATCTCATTTCTCTGCCCTCTCTCCCTCTCTGCATACCTATTGGCACGCTATCACAGGTCTCAGGAGGGCCAGTTATTCAAAGGGAACTAACGAAGTGCCTGCTATTTGTAAACAGGGCCATTTGTAAACCCTCTGGGCCAGATTTAGAGATTGCCTTTCTAACTCTGACAGTGCTCCTTTGAGCATTCACTCCACTCTAAGAAGCATTTCATTTCCAGATGTCTTGAGTCCTATAAGTAACCTCTGTTTACCCTAAAAACACTTTCAGGGAAGCTGAAAAGAGCTGAAAAACGTAGTCACAATATAGTGACCCTGCAGGGATCCACCTGACCAGTGAACCTTATACCAGCCTAGGAGGGGTAGGCGGGCTTCAGAGACTCGGCTCTCCTCCCTGCCCACTTCCGCTGACATCAGCTACTTAGCTGCTTGAACCTCGGAAGGTTCTCTGCTCTGAGGTTCATGTGTCCTGACGGTGTGTCAACATTTATTATACCCCTCTATATCTTCCCTTCCTCATCAGAAACGGAGATCTGGCCAAACAGAAGGTTCAGTGTTGGGATAAAGTTAAAGAAGTGAGCCAGAGCTAGAATATCAGTGGCCTCAAGTGCCCAGCTGAGGAGTCTGATCCTTCGACAAGCCTTTTCTTCTTTAGGTGGGTGCTGTGACTCTCACTGCTCTAAAGACGAAATTACTTGGGAGGTAAAAGAGGGCCTGAGTCACTTTCAAGTACAGTGAGTGCTGGCCACTCTATAGCATAGAGGTCTCTGTCCAGCCTGGGCTTTGAATGTGGGTACTTACGGTTCCGGGGTGTAGAGGGGGTCTGAGCCATGCCGGATGTACTGGGTACAGTGGAACACTCTGTAGGCCAGTCCTGCCAGAAAGTCTCGTGGGCTCAGGTATCCAGCCACTGGTCTCACCGTGAAGCCAGACCTTTCTAAAGAGGCAACAGGAAGAGCCAGCTAAATATTAACCCAGTAGGACTTGAGGGCCCAAGCAGGGGTTCCTACTATTTATAAGGATGTTCCAGAAACAAAGTAATCAAGGTGCTAAAACTCTTGACAACCGAATAGCATGTATTGTCAATAGCTGTCATGTTTGGGGCTTCTGATTACTAAAACACACTCTTGAATGATGATTTCCAAGGGAATAAGACAATCATTAAAATGAAAAGAAAGGTGAAAAAATTATTTAGAGATTTAAATTCGGAAGCCAAATTAGGATAAAATATCTCAAATACACAGAAGATTACAATCAAAAGTGGTGCTTGCCGAGCACCACCCAGCATCTTTCTAAGAGACACACCTCGGGATCCATTCCACATGTGTCCAGTAAGACACAGGTAAGGCATCCCCCTCACTAGCACCTCCAAATCAGTTCATGCTGCAGCTTTCTATTGTCGATACCACCTAACTCATTCATTCTATATTGTTGTTCTCTGTGATAGTATACTAATCACTGTGATTCGAAGAGGTACACGAAAACCACGTCCCATTAGTTTATGGTGAGAGGAAACAAAATAAGAATACAATAAAATCTATGAAATCATCCTATGTCACTAACTCAGTTAGGATGTGGGCCATCAGTCTTCTCAGTCTAAGGGCTACCTAAGGCTTCCTTCTCACGAAAGCCCAGAAAACCTACAACAGAAGAGCTATTCTTTTTCAAATATACATTTTACAAAAATGTCATTTACAGTCACGCTTTGCTTAACAAAGGGGATCCATTCTGGGAAATGCATTGTTAGGCAATTTCGCCATTGTGCAAATATCGTAGAGTGCATTTACGCAGACCTAGATGGCATAGCCTGCTGTACACCCAGGCTATATCGTGTAGCCTGCTGCTCCTGAGCTACAAAGCTGTACAGTACATGACTGTACTGAATACTGCAGGCAGCTGTAGCACAGGGGGCAAGGATTTGTGTATCCAAACATATCTAAACATAGACAAGGTACAGTAGAAGTACAGTATTATAATCTTTGGGACCACCATCATATACACAATACATGACTGCATCTTAAAATGGCTGCTTTATGTTCTCTGTCCTTTTCTCACAAGTAGCCTAAACATGTGTACCCCTATAATATTCTGAAATGAAAAAAAGAACAGTTCCATTTTTTAAAATAAAAATTGTTTATATTTAAGGTGTACAACATGATGTTTTGATATACACATATAGTAAATCCTTACTTAACATCATTGATAGGTTTTTGGAAACTGCAACTTTAAGTAAAATGACGTAGAGCAGATCCTCAAATGATGTGGTTTCCTTCAACGTTTTATTAAAATATTGCTAAGAAAAAAAAATTGGTTTTGTTATACATTGTTTCTCTTAAAGTCACAGTTTCCAAGCACCTATCAATGACATTGAGTGAGGACTTGTACATAATGAAATGATTTCTACAGTCAAACTAATTAACATATCCATCTCCTGACATAGTTACCTTTGCATGTGTGTGTTTGTGTGCTAACAGCACATGGAATCTATCCTTTTAGCAAATTTCCATTATACAATATGGTATGATTAACTATAGTCATCACGCTGTACCTTAGATCTCTAGACTTAGTCATCCTACCTCACTGCAACTTTGTACCCTTTGACCAATATCTCCCACCTCCCTGCCCGCAGTAACCACTGCTCTGCTCTCTGCTTCCATGTATTCGACTTTCCTAGGTTCCACATATAAGTGAGATAATGCAGTATTTTTCTGTGTCTGGCTTATTTCACTTAGCATAGTGTCCAGGGGGCCTGTTTTTATCCCTGATATCGGCATTGGAAAGGTTTCCACTCTGAAAACTTCAACTCATTAGAAGAGTACCTCAGAATGGTTGGAAATGATCTTAAAAGGCAAGAACCAACTAAGCTTATAGAACAGCCCGTTCTGGGACTCCTAGTACTTACGTGGAAATAACCCTGTTCTCAGGCCTCCTCGGCCCATAATTCTAACAGCATTATGTTCATTCCAACAGCCTTCACTTTGGATTGTGCCCCAGTGAATATCAAAAAGATAAGTGTATTTTCTTCTTTTTCTATATTACATCAATTAAGCCAGTATATCCCACATGTGGGACATGAGTAGCAGTACACAGTACACAGAGGAACATTTTTTTTATTTTTATAGTTATGTATTTTATTTTTATATAAATTTCAAAATATATGAAACTATGATATCAAGAAATTTGAATTTGTAGATACCATTGCTTTAAGTTTCTTTTTAAAATAAATTAGGTATTTTTTAAGTGTAAATTTTAAAAATTAAAAACATATACACTTACATTGTATTTGCTATGTGCCAATGAGTGATGCAAACTGAGCTCCCTATCTAGTTCACCAAGGGTGGAGGGAAACAATGGTAATAACAATAACAGCTAAGACTCTGCTATCCTTAATGTACATCAGGCACATTAGAGATTTAAAGCATATGGATTAGTTTCCCATCCCAACTACCTTGTGAGGTAGATAAAAATATTACCGCCATTTACAGAGGAGGAAACTGAGAAACAGAGAAGTTCAGGTGATTCTTCTAAGGTCACACAGCTAAGAAGTGGCAGAGTGGGGACTCAATCCCTGACATTCTGTCTCTACAATCCATGCTCCAAACCACTATACCTTACTGCCTCTCATAAAAATGTTAATTTAGGGGACGAATACATCAAAAACTAAGAGATGACATTCTAATTACTGGAGTTTGAGAAACAATACAGTAAAAAGTCATCTCCATGTATGGAGCCCTTGGTATTAACAAATGTATAATATGCACATAACTCTGTGGGAAACAAAGAGGAACATGACAGGGGAGAATATCAACAACATAAGGCATGATGTAATTAGGTACTAATTAAGTGATACTGATCAGTGGTTCTCAATCTCTTTTCCTCAGAAACAAATATAGTGGATGACGTTCGCACTTGGATCCTTCTCCATGGGCATACTCACAGCGCTGGTTGCACCGGCCGGACGGCCGTGCCTACCCTTCTCCTGATACACACATAATATAAAATGAAATCAGAGGGGGATTCATGGAGGAGGCAGGACTTGCTCTGAGTCTTGAAAAATAGGTAGAATTTGAGTAGGTGGAGAAGAGATGACATTTCTACTAAGAAACAGGGCTTAGCAAAGGTGTGGAAAACCCATGGTGGAACAGAGGGACTGGCAGGGCAGTCGCAGCCAGAGACGAACTTGGAAAGCTGGGTCAGGACCTTGACTTGAGGCTGAGCCATTCAGACTTAATTGTATAAAACAGAAGGCAGCAAACTGGGGCCTGCAGGCCAAATCCAGCTCACTGCCTGTTTTTGTAAACCTCATAAGCAAAAAATACTTTTTACATTTTTTAATGGACAAATTTAAATGTCTATGTAAGTACCTACATCATAGCCTTGATTTTATCTCCCAGCCCACAAAGCCCAAAATATTTACTATCTGGCCCTCTATAGAAAAAGGTTTGCCTATCCCTGTGAAAATAACAAGGAGCCACTAAGAGTTTCTGAGTAGAGATGTCAGGAAGAAAGTGATGTTTTAGAAAGGAGTGTTTATGTGGAAGCCATCGGTGGGAGAGTAAAGGTAAGAAAATACAGGCACTGAGGTTATAAAATGATGGGAACCTCAATCTGGGTGGCAGCAGCGGGATGGAAAGAAAAGGACAGATTGAGATGTCCACATCCTAATCCCCGAATCTGTGAATACGTGGCTGCACACGGCAAAGGGATTTTGCAGATGTTATTAGGCTAAGGATCTTGAGATGCGGAGAGCATCCTAGATTACCAGGGTGAGGCTGGTCCTTGTCAGAGGGAAGCAGGAACATCAGAGTCAGAGAAGGGCCGTGACAATGGAAGCAAGAGGTTGGAGTGATGCAAGGAAGCAGCCTCAAGCCAAAGAATGCGGGTGGACCCCAAAAACCTCCAGAAGGAATGGAGCCATGCCAATTCCTTCATCTTAGACTTCCAATCTCTAGAATGGCAATATAATTCATGTTATTTTAAGTCACAAAGTTTGTGGTAATCTGTTATAGCCAAATAGAACACGAATTCAAAGACTAATTGTGGGAGGGAGGGGAGAAGATGGGTGAGAGTTCAGAAGAATCCTTAGAGGCAAGGCTGATGAGTCCAGAGAACAAAGCATCACCAATGGAAAAAAGGAAGGCAGGCAGGGAAGGGAATTAGAGGCAAGGAAGCACGCTGTTGCTTTTCAAGCTGTTGTACTTGAAGGGAAAGAAGAGAGAGAAAACAGCAGAGAACCCAGAGACTTAACCACAATGAAGAACAGAAGAGCAAGTGGGACCACCATGAAACTTTGCCTCATGAGAGCCTTAAATTTTCCTAGCTATTGTCCCAGGAGAGTGATCACACAGAGAACGTAAAACGAGGCTACTCTGTGATCCATTATGTTCACTACTGTAACAGCAGCAATGAGTACAGTCCTTGACACACAAATTATACTTTAAAATATTGATTGATTGGTTGATTGATTGACTAATCGACTGATTTACCCCAGAGGAAAGTCACTAATGTTCAACATTATTCATAATAGTTCTTCATCCAGTACATAATTTTTAACAAAGCAAATAAAAAGACACCTTTGAAGTCATTCCATATCCGTGCAGCCCAGCAGAGTAGTTCCAGGATCAGAAAAAGTCCAAAGCTGAACATGCAAATATCCCTTGGGGCTTACCATTTTAACAGCCAACCGAAGAGAGGCCTCAGCAAGCCCCTGAACTGTGTAGCCAGCTGAGTCCATCTCCCCTGACCGGAGTCCCTGCTCTGCTTCCTGCAGGTGGCCTCAGGTAATTGTTGGTTCAATGCCTCTTTTTTAAAGTTACTATTTTTTCTTTTTAGAGAAAGAGTCATTGCTCTAATGTGTGACCTTGGAAAGCAATTGAGGATACTGGCTATAGGAAGAGACAGCCCATGTGGAGCCTTACCTTTCAGAAACACAGAGACGTCTTCGAGTTGAGGCACATTGTCCTCCCTGTAGCCACAGTATTTAGTCAGCAGGGGGAAGTTTTTCAAATACTCTCGGCAAGCATGAGTGGGATAGAGTTTGGAGAGCTCCCGGAATACGACACCCCAGGTTTTAGTTTCTTCTTCCGTGTACTCCACCCTGGGAATGGGCTGACCACTAAGCAGGAGAGAAGAAACGTAAATGAATCCAGTTTGGGATCACCGAGTTAAGTATATTCGCATCTTAATATCTACAGCAAGTCAGACTTATACAGCAGAACACCTGAGTGTCTGAAAGGATCACATTAAGTAGTGCTTTTTAAAGTAAATGCTAATCTTCCAATTTTGTGTGTATGTATTTGGACTTACATATAAATTATTTTTCAGTTAAGTTACATCTGCACACATCCTTAGAAAAAACTTGATAAGATTTATAGTCTTAGACTGAGGTCAGCAGCAAGTAAGAATTCTGGTTAAGAGTTCTGGTTTGGAAAGAACTGGTTTAGGTACAAAACAGCTCTGAGAGCCTACTCTGCAATCACCTGACAATAGTAATAAACAAATGTTGTCTCTTGAAAATAAAATTGCCTTGTGAGTTCTCTTTGTCCCTTGCCCAGACTTACCCCAATCTCCAAGTGTAATTTTGAGATTATTTCTTCAGTGCCCAAAATGTCTGGGAAATAATAAAATACTATGCTGAATTTAAAAGTGAGAGTTTTGCAAGCCACAAAATAAGGAGCATTTATTTTTTTATGCTGAAAGGTACACACATTAAGACTCTCAGTTTAGAACAGAGGCCGGCAAACTTATTTTGTGAAGAACCAAAAAGTAAATATTTTAGGCTTGTGGGTCATATGGTCTCTGTCGCAACTGTACAGGTCTGCCACTGTATCTCAAAAGCAGCCATGGACGATATGTAAACAAATGAACGTAACTACATTCTAATAAAACTTTATTGGGTCCACGAGCAGTGGTGTGCTTATGATTGGTTTGGAGTATTGAGAGGTCCGGTCGTCCTGGACTGGAGTGGTCAGAGAGAGCTTCCTGGAGGAGGCACAATTGGAGCTGAGACTTGTTGGCTAGGTAGGACCTGCAGGTTCCCTGACAAAAAGGAAGGCGAGGAGGAAATGCTGTTCTAACAGCAGCCAGCAGCCACAAGCAAAGAACATAGCTTCTGATACAACCTGGGACTGGTGGAAGAAGGGGAATATGGACACATGCTTTTGCAAACTAGTGCTTGAGGGACCAGAATCTGAATTTAGCCTTTGATGAAGATACCTATTCTGACAGCGAATGAGAGTTTGAGAAAACTTCTCATGACATGCTCAACAGCCTCCTGTAGCATACCCTCGCTACCCACCCTGGCCACTCATCAGAAACTGCTCCTGCAGTCAGCAACTACACAACACATGGAAATCCAAATGTATACACATAAAACTAGGAATTGTATCCCTGCAATCCATTAATCCAGCCTATAGCAGCCTGTCACCACAGGAGCCCATGCACAGATAGCAACTGTCACTCAGGGTTGCTGCAGCTACAAGTCACCCTCCAGGAGCTAGGACCATTCAGGAGCACCCCCTGAGGCAGTGAAAAAGAGAAAGAGGACAGTAACAAGACTAGGCTATCAAACAGGAGAGCTGCGCTCTCCTCCACCAACCCTCGACATACTTCAGTGTTCTCACCAAAATACTTTCTGTTTAAAGTTCAGGTCCAAATGTGGTTTCTACTGCCCCAAATTATTTTTATCTAAAGAATAAATGAACCGCAGTACATGAAGGATGAGAGAATAACACGTACTGAAGAAAGAAGCAGAAATTAACATTTACTTTCTCTAAGTACCAAGACTACGGCTTATATAAACCAAATTAGAACAAGATTAGCCTTGTTTAAATTTGGTTGCTGATAACAAATAAAACATTACAACCTGGCAAATATTTGCCAGGAAGATCAAGGCTTCTAAGACCTCATGTCTGTGATCAATTTAGAATGAAAGGTTGAAATGAAAAGATAAAAATAGAAAATATGTAAGGAAATAAATATATAAATGGTCTGCCTCTGGTTCCAGAAAATTCTACTAAATCAATTTGAGGTCTGTAAGCCAATAAAGCTAACAAGCGCTTGTGAACAATTAGAAGGTAGAAAAGTGATGAGGCTGAAATAAAGGAAATATTGAGAAGCCATTCGAGAAGAATTATTAGGTCAAATTTTTCCCTTTATTAAATATCAGTGGGCATGCATGCAGCATTTCAAAGAGGAGCTGAGTACACAAGGTGCAGAAGGAGACCCAGTGTGAATTAGGGTAGGAAGAAATAGCTCTACAGGTCTGTTACTTAATAATGAATGTCCAGCCTTACAATCTTAGGAATCTGGATGTTCATGTATATTCTCATCAGTTTCTGCTGTCTGCCCTGCCTGGGTAACTAACTGGCCTTCTCTTTGAGTTAATGACTGGTGCGGGCACCACTGCCACCCCGAACCCAGGTAAGCCTGCCTCTGGTCCTATCAAGAGATTTCTCACACCACTCTCGCCCCCAACAGTGGGTAACTCTACAAAGTATTAAATATTTAAAAATCAACTACATCATAAAGTAAAGGCTAGTTTTATTCATTTCATTTCTATTGAAAATATTTGAAATGCAAAAAAATAAGAAACTTCTCATTTTTCTATGTAGTTAATACAGGTATATAATAATAGCTAATGTTTGAGAATTTATGTGCCAGATACTTTTTTAAGGTTAAATGTTTTTATATGAATTAACCCATTTGATTCTCACAACAACTCTATGGGGTAGATACCGTTATTATCTCCATTTCACAGATGAGGAAAGTGAGGCTCAGAGAGATAAGCTACTGGCCTAAAATCATGGAGCTAGTCTTAAAATCTACTCACTCTGGCTCAAGACTGGTTGTAATCTTAATTGATCAGCACATACAAATTAAATTAAAAATTTATTCCAGATGCCAACTTATTTTCACATGCCAAATTTTTAATAAATAAGGCTTATAGGTATGTGTATTCATATATAGAAAATATCATATACAATTATAAGTCATCATAGTACTAGCATGTATTTATAGATCACAAAGAGTATTTTCATATTATTCACTCATTTAATCTTTTCAGTAAGACTATGAGGTTGTGCTGGGTTCCCCAACAAAATAAACATGCAGTTAAGGCACCAGGAATGCAAAGGCATCCATATTTTTTAAGACCTTGAAATTTGACATTTGGAAAAAAATTATAGTCATGGAAAAAATCAGAATGTGTTGCATTTTTTATGGGTTAGTGGATTTTCTTATGAATTGCGTATGAGAAGGGAGCCAGAGGGGTGTTCTGCTCTTTTTAGGGCCTGCAGTAGATACTTGTATGTCATTATGCATCTATCTATGGGTACATGCTATAATGCCTATATCACAGGAGTTGTATTTCAACATTCTATAACTCTGCTCTGGTCCGAAACTAAAGTCACTTAAGGATTCCACATTCTAGAGAAAGACCCCAGAAGTTGGAGCCAGCCATCTCCTTACAGGGCTTGTTAAGAGGCAGCAGAAATGGCCCTACCCCCAATAAACTCCTCCTGTACCAGCCTTCCCACCCCACCCCAAGGCCTGACCCCACCAGCTTAATGGGGATTAAGAGACACTCAGCATTGTTCGAGGGCAGCGTTTGAGAGAAAGGGCAGGTTCTTTCCTCTTCCCTAACTCAGGAGGGAAGGCTGCTCCCCAAGAGTCACTTCCAAGGACTGCAAACATCTGTGAGAAGTGGGGTGGGGCATCTCCTGTCTCACCTGCACCTTTGCTGAGCAGCAGGACCACAGACCCTCCCTGGTGCTGCCCTGGTACTATCTGGAAGCCTAGGAGGATAATGCACCATGGGGAAGAAAATGGGCCCCTTGACATATGTCCTCTGAGATTTGAGCTTCATGTGAATGTGGAGTCTAACGCCCAGTAACATCTAGGCATTTCTGTGGGACCCAATGCGGTATTCCTGGGAGGAAGATGGGGAAGTCCCACCCCATCCAGTTCTGCTCAGTTCTCAGGAGCTGGAAGAACACCCCAGTGGCCCCCATCACCCCTCTTGAAGAAGCTGTAAGGGCTGCCCAAGCCATGGTGTGTCCAACCCAGAGGAGGGGTTGATAGTGTGACCACCAACAAGGCCAAGGGGAGGCAGGGCACATTTAGGCAGGGGTGAAGGTGGAGGGAATGGTCTGCCCCAAGAAAACTATGCTTAACACTATGCAGAAACCACCATTTGAATAGAGAACAATCTGTCACAAAGAATCTGCCTAAACTAGGGTGAGTATGGCCTGAGACCTGTCCATCTCTGATATTTCAGCAATCGTATAAAAAGACCATGGCCTCCTTCCTCCCTCTTCTCAGCCCCCAACTCCAGACGAAATAGGTTCTAGAACAGAGCCAGAGCACCTCCACTCCAAAACACGCATCTACACACATTCACTCCGAATAACTGTGGGGGGTGGGGAGGATATATTTTGAATCCAGCTTGAGATTAATCTTTTTTTAAATGAGCAAGACCACATCTTAAATACCCATTTGAGACTATACTAATAATTGAAAATGACAGGAAATTAGATGTTGCTAAGGAACTTGCTTCCCAATAGGAAAGTGGGATTCAACACAATACAGTTGAAAGCAGTGAGTGGAAAAAAATAAAACCAGTTTATGTTGGTATAAACTCCAACAAGATGATACTCCTCAAAAGATTAATCACATGTAAATATTATAATTGGATATCTAGGGAGTGTCTTCCATTTGTATGGAATTAATTGGGCCTATGGAATTCTCAACAACCACCAAAATTATTATTCACAGATTCTTAATTCACTGATGAAAAACAAATGCAACCTTCAGTAGTTTCCATTCACTGCAGACTCTGCCTTCTGGTCAAGGAATGGAAAACTAAGGCTTTATCAATAGTGATACGGAACTAGTGTGCAGTGAGGACAGTACTAGATACAGGTTAAAGTGGTCACCATGGGGATTTAGGCTTGACAATAGGAAAAACTCCCTGGTGGACTATGTTACTCAGAGATGACTAAGAACTTTCTTTGGAAATATTGAAAGCTGTGGGAGGCATCTGCCTGCCTATATGGTTAAATCCTACTCTTCCTAGAGATGGGATGATTCTGAAAAACTGCCTTGCCCCTGCAGAGA